ATCAAATGCCAGTCTGCTTCTCACTGCTCCTGTAGCTGGGTGGAATGACTTCAAACAGGATGGCTATAAACTACACCACGCTGCCTGAAGTGATCAAATTGCCTGGAATAATGTGAATGCATTTGCAATTTTTTAAAAAGTAGAAGCAATAGCAGTGGAGGAAAAAATGTGGCGGGGGAGTTTTACTAATATTCACTTGTACATGGTACAGCCAATGGAAAATAATTCAAATCTGACCATTCCAATTCTGGACCATTTCCTGTATTATTTGCCAACATGGTCACCCCCTCGTTATGCCAAGCAACAGGATTTTGCACACTGTAATTCTGACTATAGGATTCTATAGTCTGATCAATATATTTTACTGTAAGCTGTCAGTAAAAGCCAAACAAAACAAGTACTGCATAATGCCTATATTTTCAATAAAGAGATTCAATGATGTAAATTACATAAAAGCTACTCTCAGCATTGCAACTGCTAATATTAGATTTTTGCAATAAGATGTTTAGGTATGTCTGAAGCATTAAAATTATATAATATAAAACAATTAATCTTCTCTAGAATGTTATGTTGAAGTAACATGGTGACTATATAAGACTTGGAGGAAACAGATCAACACAACATTGTACATCTGCCTGCATCTGTATTATGCAAGGTGCATGTATTGCACAGCTGGGAAAAGGGGCACAAATGGTTCAGAATCAGAACGCCTAAATCAGGGGAACCGAATCTTGTTTATCTTGACAGTCAGAAGCTTACTAGGGGCCCCTGTGTCAAGAGCAAGCAGGACCATTCCCCCCCCCAGGTGACTGCTTGTTCCTAGACATGCATCCCAAACTTCTGTGCGCTGCATACATGGGGCAAGATTCATGCAGAACCAATACGAAATCCAGCTGAGTTACCATTTGGTTTCCTTGGCTACCGTAGAAACTGCAATGTAGTTTAAAATAATCAAGTTTATTATTTGCGCAGACACTGGGGAACAACTTTTTATTACACCTTTTAGCAAAGCAGGATGAACATACTATATTACAAGGTGATGGCAGAAATACTCATTCAAATCACACCCATGTGACTGTTGTGTACTATGGAGCTGTTGATGAAACCCTTTTATGCCTGAGGGGTGAGAACAGAATAGTAGTCATTCTTTTAAAGTAGAAAAGGGTTGCAAACATGATGAAATTCTATCTCAACCACATCTCAAATAATTTGAACTAATTGCTGTTTTTCTCATCCCAGTCACGTAAAATGGATTCAAACACATTGCATACAGACATCCCTATGTTGTTTCTAGTGCTTAAAGAAACATTGCACTCTAAGAGCTTACACTGAAGCAATCTAGAAACAGCCATATTGATCAGTTACAACATAATATAGAAAGGAATTAGAAACCTGAGTACCAACTATTTAGAGAAAGGACTGCCCACATCCACTGCAAGACAAATAACTGATCACTTAATTCTCGCTACCAATGTTATATTAACATTGTAAAAGATTATGTTTTAAGGCAATTTACAGCCTCAAGCAAAAACAAAACTAAGACAAAAAGGAAGTAACACCATCGCTCAATGAACTGAAGCTGAAGAAGGAAGAAGAGGAGGAGGAAGAGGAATGGTGGAAGACTACAAAGAAAATAAAAATGTAAGATCCATATTGATTACATCTTTAAGAAGCTTTAGTATAAACAGATAAGATTCTTCTCCAAATATAATGCCATTCAACTTTCTGAATTGAATGTCCAACCAATCTGGAGCAGATTTTACCTGCTTTATATCCCTCTGAAAGTAATTAAGTGAAATTATAAAATCTATAGAATCTTGTTAATGTCCTTGTCATTTCTCTCTGACTTTCTTTGTAACTTCATTACTCCTATGTCATGTATCTGATAATTTAAAATCAAATTACAGTGGTGCCTCGCATAGCGATCATTCCGCATAGCGAAGAAATCGCTTTGCGACGCTGTTTTTGCAATCGCAAAAGCGATCGCTTTGTGATGGCCCCTATGGGGAAAATTCGCTTTGCGATGATCGCTTCCCTGCGATCATTGCAAAGCCCCCATTTTCACACAGCTGATCGGCGGTTCCAAAATGGCTGCCCGCTGTTTTGCCTCACTTTAGAGGCACCGAAAATGGCCGCCGCAATGGAGGATTTTCGCTTAAGGTGAGTTTTGGAGCCCATAGGAACACATTGAAGAGGTTTCAATGCGTTTCTATGGGCTTTTTAAAATTGCTTAGCGACAAAATTGCTTAGCAGCGATTTTTGCTGCACGGATTAATGTCGCTAAGCACCACTGTATTGTTAATTTTTAAACCCATCAAGATGGAGTGATTTTACAATAGGATGTAATCCTAAATCCCTCCTGTCTCACATAACCTTGTTTTCCAAACAGGATAGAAAACAGCTCCTCAGCAGCTTCTCCCATACAGCACAAGTAAGAATCAGCCACATGTTGTATGTTGCAACAGACAGACAGAAAGTGAAGCTGGGACCCACATTCCTCCATAAAGGAAAACATGAATACATGAATTTATCTCAGCCATTCCTCTCTTTCAATGAGAAGTGAAATACTAAGCATTTTAGACCAACTAATGAATACAGTGGTGCCTCCACTTATGGAATTAATCCGTACTGGAAGGGTGGCCGCACCTCAAAATTTTCATAAGTCAAAGCACCATTTCCCATAGGAATGCACTGAAAAGCAATTAATCCATTCCGGCAGAAGAAAAAAAATCACCTCTCCCCCCCAAAAGGCCTCCCAGGGACTGCCGCCATCGGTGAAGCCCGGCTTCCAAAGCCGCCCCAACCGCTGAGCAGGGTGCCGGTGCTTTGGAAGTCCGGGAAGCCGGCACCCGGCACGGCACAGCTTCCAAAGCTGTCCCCGCTGCCTTGTAGCGGAGACTGGAGGCAGAGGGCAGTGAGGGCGGCTTTGAATTTCCCACCTTTTCCTCCTGCCTTTTCGTAGGTCGACACTCCAGCCACAAGTAAAGCAAAATTTTGCGGCCGGAGCTTTTTGTACCTCGAAATTTTCACAACTAGGGACATTCGTAAGTTGAGGCACCACTGTACTTGGTTTGTATTGACCAAATAATAAAAACAAACCAGAGTGGATACCTCTGGCAGTACAGATCCTTTAATAACATTGGATGAATTATTGGTATTTTCAGAGGATGTCTATGCACATGCTTGACAACAATTAATAGAAACTCCTTGTCTCCTAGCACAGTTTATCTCATTCTGATTCTACAACTGAGCTAGTCATGGAATAGCAAACAGATGACTTTTGCATTCTAATGAGGAGAGCATTGATTCTGCTCGGCAATCATAATTATGCTACAAAATGAGAAGTACAGCAGTTATTTTAGATTAACAGAGAATAAAGACTGAATGTATGCTATGAATGTTGTCACATTTGGAGAGCCAGGACTAGAAAAATAACAGAAATATACACAATATGGGCTTAGATACGCACTATCATTAACATGATGACTTATGGCATATTACACTAATTTGGCTTCCTACTTCAGGAAAGATTAATAAGCATATACCGTATTTTTCCATGTATAAAATGACACTTTTTCCTAAAATAATTAAAGGAAAAATTGAGTGTCATTTTATAGATGGAAGGAAGCAGTCACATACACATTTGGGTGCCTCTTGCTGCTGCCGCCGCAGCTGCCCGATTGCCTCTTCCAGAGATCATGGCTTGTCCTCTCCGGTGGCTGAGGCAGCAGCAGCAGCAGGAGGTGGAGATGGAGGCGAAGGAGCATTCACATGCGCTCGAGCACCTCTTGCAATCACCACCTCCAGTGGGACTGACAGGCTCACTTCACATTGTCGCCTTGTCCTCTTCGGAGGCGGAGGCAGCAGGAGGCAGAGGTGGAGGCAAACAAGCACTCGCGCACGCTCGGCGCCTCTTCCTGCTGCCACTGCCAGATCACCTCCTCCAGCGATTGTCTCCTTAGGGCAGGAGACGAGGTGGCAACGTGAGCTGGAGGTGAGCCCCAGCAGTCGCACTGGAGAAGGTGATCAGGCGGGCAACGGAGACAGCAGCAACAGCAAGAGACAGAGGTGGAGGAGCAGTTGTTCATTAACTACTCCATCAAGGGTCAAAATTAGGGGGTCGTTATATACATTGGGGGGGGGTCGTATACACGGAAAAATACAGTAACTAGTTTTACCTCTGGCAGTTACATTTCTAATTTTGTTTTAAAAATTAGAAAGCAATACCTTCTTTGTTAGAGCATGTCAAGGCTTATTTTGCTGATCTATAGACATGTTTAGATTTGGAACAGTCTTTTTAAACAACTATTTTCCAGAAAGCCTTACAGTCTTTATGAAAGTAACTTTTAATGTAAACAGCTGGAGACTATACCTAAAGACAGCTTATCTTCAAACAGAGATACTCTGCACCTTAACAATGCTAAATAGTGGTGTCTAGGTCACTCAGGAGGAAGCCGAGATATAACCTAAACACATTTCAATTATCTTCCCTTGGGATGAACGGATAAAGAATAGGTTGAAAAACCAATTGCTTCAGGAGAAAATACTCAAGACCATCATACATTCCAATAACACACCTGGGAAAACACATTTTTGAACGTGGAAAATCCTAGAGTGTCTTTTAATTCTTTTTTTACCAAGGAGAGTATATATATGAACATCATCACTCTGTGCCTTTTAATTTCTTTCCTACTTGACAAATGCAACAGCAACAGCTAAAACAAGTTGTAGCTCAGGGATCCCTCATACACCATTGCAGAGGAGATAAATTAATGTTTTCTCCACAACCTTTCAATAAGCCCAGTGGGTCTACTGGAGGGGAAGGATCTAATCAACACTGGGTGAACTGCTGCCCATTCTGATAGTTTTAGACTTCAGACTGGTTGATACTTCAATGCAATAAATTAAACTGGTTTCCCTTGGATTTAATCAGAACATGACAAAATGGAAAAAGAGCCCACTGATCATTAGCATAAATATAGATAAAATATTCTCATTACCTGCTAGAATAAAGCCTAGTTCCATCATGTTGATAATGATCGTCTGTGTATAGGGAAGAAGAAGAAATTGTAGTTGCTAAAGAAGCTGCTTCAAACAAGGAGGTCGTGCTTGGCACTAAATCTGGCCTGTGCCGGGAGGCTAATACTGTAGTGTAAAAAAAGGAAGAAAAATATAAAGATAATTTAAGCATTAATGTATATAATTCATGATAATGGAAAATATTATGTGCTTACTTGTAGTCAAGATAGAGACAGAGAGGGTGGAGTATAAATAAATAAATAAATAAATAAATAAATAAATAAATAAATAAATAAATAAATAAATAAATAAATAAATCCACACACACACACACACACACACACACACACACACACACACACACACACAGAGAGAGAGAGAGAGAGAGAGAGAGAGAAGAGAATCTTGATACAATGCTACATAAAAAGTGTAACATTTGGAAGTAAATTGCCTCAAGAAATCTCCATAGATAGAATATGTTTATTTATTTATTTATTTAATTTATAAACACGTTACATGCCAAGTTGCACAATTCAGTACGCAACAAGTAATATCTACAGCAGGGGTCTCAAACATGCGCCCTGGGGGCCATTTGTGGCCCACTGGATGAAAGTTTGTGGCCCCCACCTTGCCTGCTGCCCCAAGTCTTCTGCTGTCA